GTCCCTGAAATTTTCACCTCTTGCCGCGGTTCTACCGCGGTCGCGGTCAAACCGCGGCCAAACATGGCCTCTGATTCTTCAATTGTCTGCGTCTGCACTCTGCCGCGGTTCTGCCGCGGTCGCGGTGAAACCGCGGTTTTTCATCCTGTTCCGTTTGGAATTTGGAAAAATGCAAAACATGAAAGTTGTAGCCCTTTGAGTTATATTTCCAACCATATATTATGGAGCCAAAATGGAGTTCTGAGTAAAAAGTTATGTGCATTTTACTAGATAGTGCGCAATATGCCTCATCGAGTCTTCGTTTGTTCTCAACTATCAAATTTGACCCCCGAACACGATCCCGGCTTAATTCCTTGAGCTTTTACTCAGACTTCAAAGCTTCAAATCACTTAAATTCATTCCATAACATCTATATAGCTCGTAATCACACCTACAAGGCATAAAACACATAATTAGTGCAAAACACTAGCGATTAAAGCGCAAACTCAACTAAAGTGCAGTAAATTAGAGTGTAATAATCAACTAAAACACGTAATTATAGCCTATCATCAAGGAGCAATTGTAGACTCCTCAAAAGTTTGTATAGTTAGTAGTGGTGCTGTGGTTGTGGATTCCTCATAAGTAGGTACAAGTAAGACCTCAGATATATCAAGATGATCAAAAGAAGTAAGGTTGAGACTCAAAAGATGTGACATCAGCTGGCATAAGATACTTATGAAGATCAGGTGAGTAGCAGCGATACCCCTTTTGAACCCGAGAATAACCAAGGAAGACATACTTAAGAGCACGACGAGCTAATTTATCTTTTTTAGGAGCTAAGTTATGAACACATGTATTTCCAAAAAACATGAGGAGAAAGAGAGTATAAGGGTGACTTAGAGAATAATACTGGATGTGGAATCTAATTCTGCATAGAAGATGAAGGCATCCAATTAATCACGTAACAAGCTATAAGAACTGCATCGCCCCAAAAACGCAGTGAAACATGGGACTGAATGAGAAGTGTGCGAGTAGCTTCAACGACAGGCCTATTCTTTCTCTCTGCTACCCCATTCTGCTAAGGGATATACAAACAAGATATTTGATGGATAATTCCTTGAGAGGTCATAAACTGTTGAAACTGAGAATATAAGTATTCTAAAGCATTATTACTATGAAAACTGCGAATAGAAACACCAAACTGATTTTTAGTTTCAGCACAAAAATTCTAGAATATAAAAAACAACTCAAAACGATCATTCATTAGGAAAATCCAAGTACATCTTGAGTAATTATCAATGAAACTAACAAAATAGCGAAATCATGCCATGTTCGGCCTCTATACTCTCCTATCAAGGGCCATGTTCTTGGTAAGCTGAAGTCACTCCATGTCCTGCCTGATCACCTCTCTCAATACTTCTTAGGCCGCCCTTTACCTCTTCTCCTACCCGTCAGCGCCAACCGTTCACACTTTCTTGCTGGGGCATCTAGGTTTCTCTGTCTCACATGCCCGAACCATATGAGTCCCACTTCTCGCATCTTATCCTCTATGGGGGCCACACCCACTTTCTCCCGAATATCCTCATTCCTAATCTTATCCAACATAGTGCGCTCGCACATCCATCACAATATCCTCATTTTAGTTACATTCATCTTCTGGATATGAGAGTTCTTAACTGGCCAGCATTCTGCCCCATATAATATAGTCGGTCTAACCACCGCCTTGTAGAACTAACCTTTATGTTTTGATGGCACATTCTTGTCACCATGACGTCAAATGCTAACCTACATTTCATTCGCCCCGCCCCTATACGGTGTGTGACATCCTCGTCAATCTCCCCGTTCCCTTAGATAACTGATCCAAGATACTTGAAACTCCTTCTCTTGGGAATGACTTGCGAATCAAGCCTCACATCTAATATCCGCTCCCCCGTCACATCGTTGAACTTCCACTCTAAGTACTCCGTCTTAGTGCTATTCAACTTGAAACCTTTAGACTCTAAGGTCTATCTCCAAACCTTCAACTTTTTGTTGACATCGCTTTGCGTCTCATCAATCAGAACTATATCGTCAGCGAAAAACATACGCCATGGTACCTCCCCTTGAATATGACGTGTCAGTTCATCCATCGCCAAAGAAGATAAGAACGGGCTAAGCGCAGATCCTTGGTGTAACTCTATCCCAACCGGAATGTTCCGAGTCTCATCCCAGTGTCCTTACCCGAATCTTAGCTCCATCATACATATCCTTAATCACTCTAATGTATGCTATAGGGACACCTATAGCCTCCAAACATCTCCAAAGGACCTCCCTAGGGACCTTGTCGTGCGCTTTCTCTAGGTTAATAAATACTATATGCAAATCCTTCTTCATATCCCTGTAGTGTTCCACCAACCTCCCAAAAAGATGGATGGCTTCCGTAGTCAAACGTCCCGGCATGAAACTGAACTGGTTCTCGGAAATAAACACAGTCCTCCTTACCCTTGCTTCCACCACCCTTTCCTAAACTTCCATAGTGTGACTAAGCGACTTGATACCTCTATAATTGTTACAATTTTCCATATCACCTTTGTTTTTGTACAACGGAAACATCGTACTCCACCTCCACTCCTCAGGCATCTTCTTCGTCCTAAAAATAGCATTAAATAGCCTAGTTAGCTACTCCAAGCCAGCCCTACCAGCATACCTCCAGAACTCAACCGAGATCTCATATCGCCCGGTCGCTCTACACATGCTCATCTTATGCACCGTCCCCGCGACCTCCTCAAAACTAAAGTGCCTATAATACCTAAAATCACGACGACTCTCGGAGTACTCCAAATCGCCCAGTGCAATGTTCCTATCCGCCCCCTCTTCATTCAGGAGTTCATGGAAGTAAGTCTGCCACCTTCCCCTCTCTCACCTTAGCCATCTGAAACAACTTTATGTCCCCGCCTTTATCCCTTAGTTCTTCATACAAACGAGCAAACTCTGCAGTCTTAGCCTCTGTGACTGCCAGCTTTGCCTTCTTCTTAGCCTTCTTATACCCTTCTCTGACGATCCTCTTCTCCTCCTCGTCCGTGCTCTCTATTAGCTTCAAATATGCCGCTTTCTTAGCTTTTACTTCCTTTGAACCTCCTCATTCCACCACCAGTCTTTTTTGTGGCCGCTAGCGTAACCTTTCGAGACCCCTAACACCTCTCTCGCAGCCTCCTTAATGTAGTCCACCGTCCTCATCCACATACCACTCGCGTCCCCGCTACTCTTCCGAGCCCCAACAGTCGACAACTTCTCTTGTAACTCCTGAGCCTTGTCCTTAGTCAAAACTCCCCATTTGATCTTCGATCGACCCCACCCAACCCTCTTCTTCCTCCTCATCACAATGTCTAAGTCCATCACCAAAGCCTATGCTGGGTCGCGAGGTTCTCGCTCGGGTATATCCTTGCAATCAGTGCACAGACCTTTATCACACCTCCTAAGAAGGAGATTATCGATTTGGGTCTTGGCCGCCGTGCTCGGGAAGGTAACCAAGTGCCTAAAAACTGGTCACTTTTTATAACCAAACAATGTTTTCAAAAGATTTTTGAAAAAAAGTGAAAAAACATTATGGACAAACGGGAGCTTAAAATCAGGTAAAATGCATTTATCAAACTGTTCTCAAAGCTTCTTGTTTATATCTCTCATCAAAAGGTTGCTATTCGCTAATGCCTATCTAATAGACTCCCTGCTAACTCTAGTAAACATTAAAATATTTTTCCTACATCCATTTGTGAAAGTACTCCTAATGGGTTAAAGACCGTATCAACAGATCTTCCATCTTGTAGATAAGGTATATCTTTTTTTTTTCTAATAAGGAAAAGAGTAAATGTGTAATAAGGCATATCTTGTCTAGGCAGAATTTGGAAAATGTGACCTTTGCTTCATAAATGTGGAGCACGAACGCAAAACTTTTTGCTTTTCCTTTCCCTCTCTCTCAGTCGAGCTAGTTTAAATATTTTTTTCTCCTTTTTTCGTGTCACTAGCTTCTTGTAAAGTCCATCTAGGGCTTCCCCTCAAGCTTTACTAATAGCCTTCTTAACTTCCCTTTGATCCCTTTAAGTCTTGCCCTTTTCCAATTGAGTCCTGAGTTAGTTAATTTCGTCGTTTGGATAACAGTGTCGCGGAGATTATTGGGAATTGTAAGGAGCATTGCTCCCTTATATTGTACTGGAATTGCCGAGCATGGTTAATGAGAATGAAATCCTAGTTCTGTTCTTTCTTTCTTCTTCCTCTTTCTCATTGTTCTCCTTCATTTCTCATATAGCTACGATATTGTGCGTTGAATTTGTGTAGTTCCACAATTTGAACCTTCACCTGTTCTGGCTACCTTTCATATACTGTCTAAACTTAGTTCGTCCCTCTTTGCGACTCTCTGTTAGGTATTTTACTTTGCTAAGGCCCCAGTAGAGACGGGAAGCATTGTTAATAACGTGTCTAGTGCTGGCCCTAGGGTTAATCTCTTTTTGATAACCAGGTTTCCTAGTTCTCTTTAATAATTATTCAACCGATGAGACTTGTTATAATATGTTTTAGGGTCTATGATAAGCATTAATTGGTTACAGCATAAAAATGGTATCTAACCTGCTATTGTAGGTTAAACTACAGTAATAGTGTGAAAAATCTTTACACTGTATGTGTATGTTACTTAATTTCTTAGAAAAAATGATCTTAAAAATTGTACTTGGATGACTTGGTGTTTGACTGCAACTGTTAGCTTCAGATAGCTTCTTTTGGAGCACTGTGTAACCCATGCTTAATTAAGTTAGATTGACTCAATCTGGATTGCCAACATGTCTATTTGACTTTGAGCGGGTCCAAAATGTTGTTACAACAACTCGCATAATCAATTATTAAGTCTTGTTGCATGATACTTTATATGGAAAGTTGAACTTGGAGTATGCAATACTGAACAAGTGAAGAGCTCGATTCAGTATTTCAGCTGTCAACTCAACTATTAAGCTTTTTGGCGTGATGGATAGTTGATGTAATTCATGTAATTGCAGCTGCAAATATCGTTGTCTCATGGGGAAGGGGAGAGGATGGACAACTCGGCCTTGGGGATGCTGAAGATCGATTTTCTCCAACTCAGGTGAGTGCATTGGATGAGCAGCAAATAGTATCTGTCACTTGTGGAGCTGATCATGCAACTGCTTACTCTGAGGCCCTCAAGCAAGTCTATAGCTGGGGATGGTAGGTTTTCATTCCATCAAATACTTCTAATTAAAACATTATTCTATTCAGAATCTTTGTTAAAGTTATGATAACTGGTAAGTTCTTGATATTAGCTAGTATTAAACATGAGTGTTATCTCAGGAATTTGGCTGCTAGTAAACCTGAGAATTTCTGATACTTTTGTGGTTTGTATATTAATAGATCTTATCTTAGCTAGTCCCTTTTCTGAACTGCCCAAAACCTGTTTATACGCAACTTGAGGAAGCAATTCGTGAAGCTACCTCTTCTACATATTGCAATTTTATTTTGAGCATGCCGAAGAATGGAACGTTAGAGGTGAGATCCTAAATCTGCTTAATGTAGTTCGAACATAAAAGTTGGCCAATAATGTGATAAAAATCTCTAAACTTTTAGAAACAAAGCGAACATAAAAGAGATTATAACAGCACGAAGAGGCAAATACAAGTGCTGATGAATTGGGAGCTACATTAAACATCCAGTTAAGATGTGACAACATGCAGCAACTATTAACTAACAATAGAATGATGTAGGAAGCAAAGAGTGGTAGATGCTGGTATTAGACCTCTGGCTTTGAGAGTGCTGCTTTAATTGAGTTGACTTTGAAGTCTTCCACTGTTTTGTAGCTTCTCAATATCTTTTGTTCTTATAGGTTCGAAATAAGTTATTATCTTTTCAGTCACGTTATACCTTGGTAAACATACATTTTTGTGTGTTTCACTGTTTTGTAAACTAATTTTTGTTAATAGAAATCCGCGTTGTACAAGCATGCACCTCGAAAAACACAGTTCACTTCTTAATGCTTTACCTGTTCAATTTTTCATGAAATAATTTCATTAAGGATATGCTTTTCCCATCTTTGCTTGAGTTTCTATCATTCTTGGCGTTCCTCGAGTTCTTGTAGTCTCAAGAATTAAGAGTGTTGTTCTATTCATCAAAAAAATAAGGCTGAATACATACGCGATCCCTTAAACTGGTCCAATCTTTTCATTTAGACACTTTAACTAAGCCTTGTTCCTATTGAACACCTGAACTCATGCCTAAGTATATCTATTAGACACAATTTTCACAATCTGCGAAACAATATAAGCGTGTTTTGTTAAACGCTTCGTACGTGGCCAAAAAAGCAAATCAAAATGTGACAAGTGGAAAATCTTTAAAAAAAATTCTTTTAGAAAATTTTTCTTCTTCCACCCATTCTTAATTACTGCCATGGTTGGCCAACAGAGCTCCCCATTAAAACCACCCTCACATTCCCTAAAAAATAAAGAAAGAACCATCACTCAAGCCTCGATTCCTTCCTCTAAAAAATCATGCACAGCCACCATAAATTCCTTCGAGCTTCTCCACTACACCCCTGCACTTTTCACAGCAAAAGCCATGAGCAATATCCAACACCATCTTATTCTATCCAGTTCACTACCATTGCTCACAATCTATCTCCATTTCATCTCCACCTAGATTCATGCTATCATCATACTCTTGTTAACCATCATCCTCGACGACCACAAACCCACCATCAGAACGGCCACCATTTTTAACCTTCATCGCTAGATAACATTAATAATTAAATAGTCGGCAACACCAACCTCCATTTCACTATGTTTTATCAAATACAACGGCTTCCCGTAACTCCATTTCACTCTATTTTGAGTTTTTTTCAATAGCTTGTGGCGGTAGGAATGGCGGTGATAATGGAGTTTGGGTTTTCAGTGGCGGCATTTGGATGGAGATACAGTAGATGATGATTATTATGGAGGTGGGACAGCAGTAATAAGGCGAAGGAGCCTAGTGGCAGCATGAAGTTTATAAAATCGAAACGATGGAGGTGCTATAGTGGGGGTATGACAGCTTTGGTGGTTAATTCCTGGGGTTCGAGTGAATTTGAGATTGTGAGTGTCGTCACTGTGTTTGTGTGTGCCTAGTGTATTCCGATGAAATTGTGTGCATTTTTCTTTTGTATGTGTGTGTAATGTTTATTGAGTGGTAAAAGAGAGAAAAGGTAGAAGGGGAGGTGGTGCTGGCTGGTATGGCAGAGGAGGTGGTGGTAGGAGAGAGAATGGGAAGAAGTGAGAAAAAAATTACTTTTTCTTTCTTTCAAAAGTTATGCCTTTCATGCGCCTTAAATGCGTGATTGCACACTGTGCCATGTAAGCACCGTGTGTCTAATTAACACGCTTTATTTTCACTTCTGGTGTTCAATAAGAACAAGTCTTAGTTTATGTGTCTAAATAAAATAAAAAAATCGGACAAATTTAAGGGGTCGCATATGTATCCAGCCAAAAAGGAATTTAGAATATTGTTCTTTGGTTGTAAAATTTCACTGGTCACCCTTAGTTGTGATTGATACTCCCATCCATCCCAATTTATGTGATACAACTTCCTTGTTTAGATATTCAAATAGACCAACTTCTACATCTTGATCAAATGATGATTCAAGCTTTTTGAAAATAAATTCGATACTCATAAAGTACTTGAAATTGTATGTGCATTGGCTGGTGGTGACAATTTATTCGAAGAATGGTATGGTCAAGAAATGAAGCCTTTTTTTTTGGGTTCAAAATTCAACATCTTTAATTTCCTGTAGTCCTTACTTTTTTCATCCATCTTATCCAATATATGTAGATTCGTTATGAGTGTTTGCCCTATGTATATTGAGTCTTATCATTGAACTTGCTTTTAGTTTCCCATGATCAGTGCTATCTTAGCAACTCCCCATGGTCTTCACTGAGACAAATGGGAGTATTCTGCTTGGATTTTACCATAATACGTGGATTGAATCCTACCAAGAATAATTTCTGCAATGAAAGAACATGAAAAACATTAACTTTCTATGCAGCATGTACTTTTAATGATTGTGTCAGCATGCATTTGGATCAAATCAGCAGGCGTTGTTTCTATTTCATTTGGTAGGGGTGATTTTGGGAGATTGGGTCATGGAAACTCCAGTGACTTGTTCACTCCTCAACCAATAAAAGCACTGCATGGTATATGCATTAAGCAGATTGCATGTGGGGACAGCCATTGTCTTGCTGTGACAATGGAAGGCGAAGTGCAGAGGTTGGTTGCTGTTGCTCTTGAGCGGTTGTTTTGGTGGATCTGTAAACCTTATGCTCATTTCTCTTCTTTTTCTTTTGATAAATATGTTTGTTTTGTCTCCTTAACCAGTGTTGCTATGACATTTGTCCAATCTAAATTAGGTGCATCTGTAATTTTACCATGTTCATCTACTTCTATCAATATTTAACTCTTGAGACTTCTGGTCTCATTTCTCTATTTAATTTTTTTTCTTAAAGTAAATTGGCCGTTCATCAATCTTTCTATTTTCGAACATTACTTCTGCAAACTTTTGTTCTCAAATTTTGTGGCTCTCATCTGTCACTTTTTGCTAGTTTGAGTTCAAAAAAATAAAATAATTGCCTGCTATGATTTGGCCATTTCCAGAATGAAAATGAAGGTGTTTAATTTTTTTCTTAATGGCAAAATTTGGATGCTTAGAAACCACATTGTTTAAAAGTTGAACAGAAAGAATCCAACATATAGCAGCCACAAATTTCCTACTTAAAGATTTGAATATAGATTTGAAGCATGAAAAGTGAAACATGACACTGAAGTTTTGGAAGGACATGAAGCTCTCTTATTTGATGAATATAACAAGTAAGAACCACTATCCAAAATGGTAGGGTTCTCAATAAACTATCAACTACGGAAAGAGAAAGTTTGAAGCCTTTTTGACTTATTATGTTTATTTAGAAAGATGGAAAGAATACAATTCCGTCTTCCCCAATAAAGTGACATATTTATTTCCTTTCGTCTCCACTTTCTGCTCAAACCAAACAAAGGACAAAAAGCACTTCCTACCACATTCTTTTATATTATGTAATTTTTATATTATCATCCTGTCTCTTTCTCTGACTAGTAGGATCACATTTTAAGTTTTCCCTGAATATAAAATATAGAAATCTGTTTTGCATACTTGGAATCGCTTTCTTGATATAAGATTTTATTATTTCTAAAGCTGCTTCTTTTTCATCTGACAATTTGAATCCAACTATTAATACTGTTATCAATTCAATTTTAGTTGGGGGAGAAATCAAAATGGCCAACTAGGCCTTGGCACCACAGAGGACTCTCTTGTGCCTCAAAAGATTGAAGCTTTCAAGGTATTGCTTCCTAATTGTTTGTTACGTTTTATGTAGTTATTATCTTGTTCTTTCACAAACTCTTCTGTGACATTCCTGGTGACTTATCAAAATGATGGTGTAAACGATCCTTACTCTTAAGGCTTCACTTAGCTTATATGTTTGAATTCCAATAAATTAATAGCTTTATTCATATAGTGGTGATGAACTTCAAATTGCTCATATAATGAGAAAATATTCTCTGAACTCGGTTATGAGTGTGTCATTTGGAATACTTGTGATGTAAGAACCTTTGTTGCTTTCATTTTGCAAAGATATGTAAGTACTCCAGCCGAAACCTGGTGTAGAAGATATGCATCTGCTTTGTTAGTTATCCAAGGGTGGACAATAATTGATTTTGTAATTGAATTTTTTGGTTTTTTTTTGAAAGGTTATCCATGAAACTTTCTCGATGAATGACTTGATAAGAATTTGAATTTCTTTGGTTGTGCATCATATTTAATTTGGTGTCACAATATCTGAAATTTACCTGACTACAACATGCTTTTGCAGGGAATACCTGTAAAAATGGTTGCTGCTGGTGCCGAACATACAGCTGCTGTTACGGAAGATGGTGAACTTTATGGTTGGGGTTGGGGTCGATATGGTAATCTGGGGTTAGGTGACCGAAATGATCGCTTGGTTCCAGTAAAAGTTTCAGCTACTGTGGTAGGCATCTCGTGTGGAATTCTGTTGATTACTATCAGGCTATTTTTTAATTACTGAAACCACATCGTACAACTGGGTTTAAAACATTGTTTTGTGGTATGGAATCATTTTTATAATGTGTATCTGTTATTGCCCAAAAAGATGTATTGCTGACATGCAACACAAAGTTTAATGTTTGTTTTCAATTTTCTTTTCGTGTCAGAAGTGTTTAATCTGCAGATTTATAAGTTCTTCTGGATTAGGTGAAACTGGGGAAAAGGTAAAAAAACGAATATCCGCAGAAATCATTCAGAGAGAATTATTTGGAAAGTATATTGAGCGTGTCAAATGGTTAGGTTGTTGTATTCACTTTGAGTTATGCCTTGGGCTTCAAACAAAAGGATTATAGGAGAGAAGCATAGTGCCCTGAAATGTTTACCTTGAGTCTGTAATCTGTATATGTGGATTTTGTTTGCATGACGGCTGTAAATATTTTGTATTCTACATAGCTAATGCCAAGCAGACCCTACTAAGGATGTTGAGAGACTTACTTCTTTGGACGAATGACATTGTGGTGATTTTGTGTAATTATTTTGAACCTGAAGAACTAATTTGGATCGTTAAGTTGAAGTTATTGGTTCGTTCATCTTCTTGTATCTATTGAAAGAAGTGCACCGGTTAGCAGTAAGGTAAATTTCGGGTTTCTTCTTCCATTTATTAGTTTGTGCTTTCTTTTTCACCTAGTTATTTACATGCATTCTGGCAATAGTCGACCCACCTCCTTGGTTTCAGCTTGTTGAGATTGTACGTTTAATTTTTGGGAATCATGGATTATTTAAGTGAAATTCAAGGAATAACTTGTATTTCACAATCTCTGGATAACATGTATATATACAATTACAAGAGGCTCTATCAAAGGTAAGTAAATATCCTCAAGCACGAGGACNACCCCAAGCAACAAAACCGGGAGATTGCTCTACATACATTTCTTCTTGGAGATCGCCATGAAGAAATGCATTCTTGATATCCAAACTGATGTAGTGGCCAATTCTCAGAAGCAGCTAGCTAAATAAACAAGCGAACAAAAGTGAGTGGCCATCGGAGAGAAAGTGTCGGAATAATCCATCCCATAAGTCTGAGCATATCCTTTAGCCACCAATGTGGCTTTAAGCCTAGCCACAGAACCATATAGATTTACTTTGACTGCAAATACCCATTTGCATCCCGCTGCTTTCTTTCCTTCGGGTAAATCTACCAAATCCCAAGTGATTTTCATTAAGTGCATGTATCTCCTCAAGTATTGCATCATACCACCCAGGGTGTCCCAACGCTTCCTTAACTGTATTGGGTACAGAGATAGAATCTAGGGAAGCAATCAAAGAACTTGACGTAGGAGTTAAGCGGTCATAAGAGATAAATTAGCAATGGAATATGTAGATTGACATTGATGTTTACCTTTGCGAAGAGCAATGGGAAGGTCAAGATCTGGAGGACTGACTTGGAGAGGATCTGATGACGAAGGAGCTGGTGCAGGACATGTATCTTTGGTCTCTCGTCTCCTAGAATAAACATGTACAATTGGCTGTCTTGCTGGAGCAGGAATAGCACGGGAAGGGACACCATATTTCAATTGTTCAACATGAGAGAAAGGAGACGAAACAACCTTATCCACGAATTGCTCTAAGCTTGGTGAAGTGACTATATATGAGCCATTCTTCTTCCTCCCCCTGGCTGAGAGAAGTGTGAATGGAGGAATAGAATGGAGTATTGTCGGAGAAAACCACATCTGTCGAGACCATATATCTCTTTAGGGTTGGAGAGTAGCACAGATACCCTTTCAGGAGGCAAGAATTCCCTAAAAAGAAACATTTTAAGGCCTTTGGATCCAGTTTAGTGACATGAGGCCTTACATCACGAACATAACATGTACTACCAAACACCCTTGGCTCTAGTGGAAATAGTGCCTTATTAGGAAAGGGAGCATTATGGGGAATGTCACCATTAAGTACTGAAGACGGCATACGGTTAATGAGAAAGCTAGCTGTAGAAACTGCATCAGCCCAAAATCTCTTAGGAACTTTCATTTGGAATAGCAAAGCACGAGCAGTCTCAAGCAGGTGTCTATTTTTCCTATTAGCCACTCCATTTTGAGAGGGTGTATCCTCTCAAGAGGATTGATGGAGAATGCCATGCCAATTCATATAATTCTGAATTGATTGTGACATGTATTTTTTAGCATTATCGCTCCTTAATGTATGTATGGAAGGGCGGCCTTGGCATAACTGATAAAGTTGCTGCCATGTGACCAGGAGGTCACGAGTTCGAGCCGTGGAAACAACTTTTTGCAAAAATGCAGGGTAAGGATGCGTACAATAGACCATTGTGGTTCGGACCTTCCCCAGACCCCGTGCATAGCGGGAGCTTAGTGCACCAGTTTGCCTTTTTTTTTTTAATGTATGTATAGAAACATTGAATTATGTCTTAATCTCTGCACAAAAAGTAGAGAATGAGAAAACACCTCAGAGCGGTTCTTCATAAAATAAATTCATGTCATTCGGGAAAAATCATCCACAAAAGTAACAATATCTGAACCCGACTTCAGACACAACATGACATGGTCCCCAAACGTCTGAATGGACTAGGTCAAAAACAAAATCAACTCGTTTATTAATTCTAGGGCTTAATGAGCTTCGATGATGTTTTGTAAAATGACAAGACTCACAATCTATTAAAGGTACATGAAACCGAGGACATAACTTCTTCAAAAACAGGTAGAGAAGGATGTCCCAACCGACAATGTGCTTCAAATGGAGAGACAACACTCTAGCAAACAACTGATTGAGGCACCGATGTGTCAAAAATGTAGAGACCATCAGAAACATGTCCTTTACTAATATTTTGCTTCGTCATAAGATCCTGAAAAATACAATGATGAGGAAAAAATGAGATAAAGCAATGTAGGTCTTTGGTGAGTTTACTCACGGAGATCAAATTAAAGGGGCAAGGCTAGGTAGTCTTAACACAAAGGACAAGGTAATAGATGAAGTGGGTTTAACTGTCCCAAATCCCTCAATAGTATAGGTTGACTCATCGGCTATAGTTACAGGACCGAAAACTAGAGAAGACTTTATAATTATCTGTCATGTGATCTGTGGCACCAGAATTAATGACCCATTTGTTTGAGGAGGAAATGAGACATTTGTTACCTGACTCAGCATGAGCTGGAGGAGATTCTTTCCCTATATTCTGATATTGAGCGAGCCTGGCATATTCATCAGCTGAGATTGTAACAGTTTTCTCTAAGGATGAAGGGGAAGTAGCAGCAACAGTGGTGGTCTGAGTTCTTTGATTATGAATATGTAATTTCTTACAATTTCGTTTCATGTGTCCTGGTTCCATACAGTAGCGGAAAATAAAGTCCGTGTTTCCTCCTTTGATATGGTTCCACCGCCCAGCATTGTTGTTATTGTTCCACCTCCCTGGATCACTGTTATTGTTCCCCCTCCCTGGATCACTGTTATTGTTCCACCTGCCAGTATTATTTTTTTCCTCTCCTTTTGCAACAAGCACATTCATTTACTGATTGGATGGAGTACTCTTTGTGCTCAACACCAAACTGAAAACATCTTTGAGAGAAGTGATTTCAGAACTAGAGAGAATCTGTGATTTGGATGTCTCAAACTGAGAGGGGAGCCATCAGTTGGAGGGTCATCAGTGAGGTGGTCATCTTTCTCAACACTACGCAAATATACCCTGATTTTTCTACTCCAGTCTAAATAATTAGGCCCATTTAGTTTATACTCCGTAATTTTGGCTAGTGCTGGAACTATTTCAGAAGTGACATAAGGTTTATCTTCAGACATTTTCAATTAATGCCAAAATTCTGACTACTCCACAATTGAATCAAAACCCTCCCTAGAAATAACAGAACCCTACCCAAACAGTAAGTGTACAATTGCAGAATACTTACGATGGAAACAAAATGAATCAACACACCTTAAAATAGAGATTCAACACCAGAAGAGTACCAGGAATGAAGAGACGACGCCGGAGAAACAAGCCAAGATCTGTTTTTCCGGACCACGGACCCCACATACCAGCGAGTGAGTGACAGTCACAAGGTACAGGTGGCTCATGAGATTAACATGCTGCCCGCCCAGATGCCGGAGATGAATCTTCCGGGCGGAAACCTCCTTCCCTTTCTTCATACAGTGGTGGTGAGATAAACTACTCACTTCTTAGCTTTGACCTAAGTAGCCGAAGCCTTTTCCTAAGATGCCAGGAAAAGTTTCGATTTTGCTGGACAGAGATCTTGAGCCCTAGGCTCTGATACCATGGAATTCAAGGGAATAACTTGTATTTCACATTCTCAGGAGTACATGTATATATACAATTACAAGAGGCTCTATCAAAGCTTAGTAAATATCCTACAAATCTCTCCTATGATTTAGCTAGCTATATAAGGTAAGAGAATATCTTTACACGATTCTACAATATTCTGTAACATTAAGCAAACAATTTGTACTAAGGTATGTTGTCTGTTTCCCATTTTTTCCCCTTTTCACTTGGCTTTTACATGCATACTGGCGATAATGGGCCTCTATGTTCTCAACTTGTTGAGCTGAAAATATTGAATTTTCTCTTTACAACTTTAGATAATATTCTGTTTGCTTTGGTTCTTGAGATAGGTATTCAGCTACGCTCTGTACAAATATTATATACAACTGCCTGCACTCTGCCGGCGCTTGCTCTAATCTTTGTTGCTGTTTTTAGCCCCCTTGTCTATTTACCTGATATCTAGAATCGCAGGGAGAAAAGATGTTCATGGTTGCATGCGGTTGGCGGCACACTATCTGTGTTTCCTCTTCTGGTGCTTTGTATACATATGGTTGGAGCAAATATGGTCAACTAGGACATGGTGATTTTGAGGATCATCTTTTCCCTCATAAGGTTCAAGCTTTGCATGACAGTTTTACTTCTCAGGTACATATTCTTTTATATGAAAACTTTCTGGCATACGTTTCTAAGATTAAAGATGGGAAGTTTTTATAGTAACTGTTGTACTCTATTTTCTGCATTTCCGGGCACTGAAAATTGTTGACCTCTTTATAATCTGTATTTTTATGCTTTATAGCTCCTTAATCCAAACTATTTACCTGACTGAAGTCTTTTTCCTTGGGAAATATTTGTATAGATGTTCTCATATCCTTGCATAGACTTTTACTGAAATTTGACATGCTCCTTTGTTAAAGTGCTTTGCTATTAACTTCTACTGGTTTATCTGTGTGGTATTTGCCATTTTTAACTTTCTCAGATTTTTTTAAATACTTTATCGTGACCTATCTACTGGTTTATCTGTGTGGTATTTTCCATTTTTAACTTTCTCAGATTTTTGTTAAATACTTTATTGTGACCTAGGAAGTGTTAAACTATGAAACTCTCCATTTGCAATATTAGCTATTGTAGTAACAAGAAATGTAATTGCTGCATATAAAGGAACATGTCCAGTAATGGGTTTTAGGTATCCAGCAATTTTCAAGAGATGGAAGGCATATGAAAGTCTGCATGTTAATTTCAAGCAAAAACATGGACAACCAAATGAAATCATGAGCTGCATTCCAAGAAGAGAGACACTACATATGCTCAACGAGTTTGCAAGTGAAAGGCAACAACAACAACAACGACCCAGTATAATCCCACAAGTGGGGTCTGGGAAGGGTAGTGTGTACGCAGACCTTACCTCTACCCCGATGAGATGGAGAGGCTGTTTCCTGTAGACCCTCGACTCAAGAAGACGAAAAAATGAAAAGAGACGATATATCAGTACCATCATGGAAATAATAACAGAAGAACCAGTGAATAGATGGAAAACAGAAATAATGACCAATAAATAAGGCCCGACACTATGAAAACGGAAGAGTAGTGTAAACACAACACTGGCCACTAGCAGTCTAAGACTAAATCCTATCAGCCTAGCCTCACACCTGTAGACTAAACATGCTCAACTACCTCCTAACCCACAACTTTAATGCTCGACCTCTACAGCTTCCTATCGAGTGCCATGTCCTCGGAGATTTGAAGCCTCGCCATATCCCGCCTGATCACCTCTCCCCAGTACTTGTCGCCCTCTACCTCTCCTCGTACCCACCAACGCCAATCGCTCGCACCTCCTTACCGGGGCATCAAGCTCCTCCTATGAACATGCCCGAACCATCTGAGTCTCGCTTCCCGCATCTTGTCATCAATAGGAGCCACGCCCACCTTCTCCAGGATATCTTCATTCCTAATCTTATCCATCTTAATGTGCCCGCACACCCACCTCAGCATCCTCATTTCTGCTGCTTTCATCTTCTGGGTATGGGAGTTCTTAACTGGCCAACACTCAGCCCCATACAACATGGTCGGCCTAACCACCGCTCTATAAAACTTACCTTTGAGTAGCGGAGGCACTTTCTTGTCACACAGGTCTCCAGATGCTAACCTCCATTTCATCCACCCCACCCCTATACGGTATGTGACATCTCCGTCGATCTCCCCATCCCCCTCGACAACTGACCCAAGGTACTTGAAATTGCCTTTCTTGGAAATGACCTGCGATCCAAGCCTCACGTCCATGCCCGCTTCCCTCGGCTCGACACTAAACTTGCACTCAAGATATTTCGTCTTCGTCCTGCTCAACTTGAAACCCTTAGACTCAAGGGCCTGTCTCCAAACCTCCAGCCTCTCGTTAACGCCACTCCGCGTCTCGTCAATCAGAACAATGTCATCAGCGAATAACAAACACCATGGCACCTCTCCTTGAACATGGTGTCTCAGTGCGTCCATTACCATTACCAGAGCAAACAAGAATGGGCTGAGCGCAGATCCTTGGTGTAACCCCATAACAACCGGAAAATGCTCAGAGTCGCCTCCCTAACATGAGTCTTAGCTCTATCATACATGCCCTTAATCGCCCTAACGTAAGCAACCGATGCACTTTTAGCCTCTAGGCATCTCCAAAGAACCTCTCTAGGAACCTTGTCATACGCTTTCTCCAGATCAATAAACACCATGTGCAGATCCTTCCTCTTATCCCCGTACTGTTCCACCAACCTCCTTGTGGATAGCTTCCATAGTAGAACGACCCGGCATGAACTCGAATTGGTTGTCTGATACAGACACCGTCCTCCTCACCCTCGCTTCTACTACCATCTCCCACACTTTCATGGTATGACTCAATAATTTGATACCCCTATAGTTGTTGCAACTCTGGATGTCACCTTTGTTCTTGTACAATGGAACCACCGTACTCCACCTCCACTCGTTCGGCATCTTCTTCGTCCTGAAAATAACATTAAACCCAGTCAGCCACTCCAGACTTGCTCTACCCACACACTTCCAAAATTCCACCGGAATCTCGTCAGGCCCGATAGCTCTGCCCCTGCTCATCTTTCGCATAGCCCCCATGACCTCCCCAACCTTAATGCGCCTACAGTACCCAAAATCACGGTGGCTCTCGGAATGCCCAACTCGCCTAGCACAATATCCTGATCCCCTTCTTCATTCAGAAGTTTATGAAAGTAAGTCTGCCATCTCCGCTTAATCTGGGCCTCTCCCATCAATACTCTACCGTCCTCGTTTTTGATGCACCTCACTTGGTCCAGATCCCGAGCCTTTCTCTTTCTCGCCTTAGCCAGCCGGAATAATTTCTTCTCCCCGCCTTTGGTATTGAATGAAAAAAAATGTATCCATAATTTGTTTATAGTGTATGATTTTATATATTCTGTGCATGCTAAGATAATGAACCAGACCCTAAAAACAAATGATTTTTGTCATGGCTTACGTGCCTAACCTATCTTAATTTGCACATGGAATAGCTGCTTAATGGATAACTGTTTTCCATGGATATTTCTTGTTGCGATCTTAACGTGTTTGTATTTTATTTCCCTTGTCACAAAGTACTTGATCCACTTCGAGTTGTGTGAAAGTCAAGAATTAGATATGTGAAAGACTGTTAAATTGATTAGGTAGAGAAGTGCTTAAAATATTACTTTGAAAATACAAATCCCATCACCATTATTGATGTGTAAGAAGGAGCCTGTTGATAAAGTAACTTATGATGCCTAGACATATGTGGATTTGTAGATTCGTTCTTCAAGAACATGAAAAGCATGGAGATAGGGGCGGAGGTACCGCTCAACTTACAGGTTCAGCAGAACCCAGTAACTTTGGTCCAGATCCTGTATTTGTGTTAAAAATTCTGCTTAATATTTAGAAATAATTTATCAACAACCCACTAAGTTGCCTTTTTTTTTTAAAATCTAGAACCCATAAACTCAAAATACTGGCTCCAATATGAGAAACATACTTCTTGGTGGGTGAGAAATCCTTTGAGCTCGTTGATATCAGCAACGTCGGGCTAAACTGGTTCATGATGGCAGGACAAACAAGAAACTCAACATGCAAATTAAGATAGATGAAGATAATCTCGGTTGACAATCTCGATTGGGTTTCCAGTCTGCTAAGGCAAGTTTTGACGGATCTGATAAGGCATGTTGTAGATGGGAATGTAAGGTTCATTCTATGGGTCTAGAGTATATTAAAACTTTAATAGATTTAGAAGGAAAGATATGAAGCATGGATTGGATAGTATAGAATGCAGTATTTATTCCAGAAATAATAGAAAATGTTAGATGGAAATATGCAGAGAAGATGTAGATGGGCAAAAATACAAAGGAATCTAAAATCTAACTTTCCCAAATGATCCCGTGCAGAGGCTGCAACAATATAGATGTTGCCAGAACAGCTCATAAGAGAAATTAAAGTATTAGATAGTCCAGCTAATAGGATTACATTGGATGAGAAAGCTTAGAGAGATCGAAAGGCTATCTAACTGGTTGCCTTGTGGGTAGCTTTGATGATGCAAGAAAAGCTTATCCAAGTGCCACACTGTTAAAGAATTGTTAAAAATTGGTGCATGTTAGATAGTTATGTGAATAACCCTAGTTTCACATGGAATAGGAGTAGAATATGTATTGTGTATAGTTATAAATATGGCTATTGTAAAACACTTAATAGAATATCAATAATTGTTGATTGGCTTAATTATTAGTAAAGATTTGTATCTGATTGAGATTAGATAATATTTTAATTGATTTTAAATTGAATGTAACTTATTTTCCTTCCTAAAATAGTCATAGGACTTAGTGTATAAATGCCTTTGCTTAGGGATGTAGATGTAAGAAATACATAGAAATACAAATAGCCTTTTCTTCTACTCAAAAATCTACATGGTATTAGAGCCATTGCTACCTTTTTTAGATGAGTTATCTCCCTCGCAACACTACGGTTTCGTTTTTATCAAAGAGTTCGAGTTTTCTCTCTCTTGTTGGCTGTCCGCAATACATACTCCTTTTGATTCCGTGGAGACAAATTTGGTCTCCGGCGAGACAGATTATTTTTAAGTAATTTTCTTCAGATTTCTTTCTTATTGTGCAGAAAATATGGAGACATACAAAGAGACAGTTTCTAGAGAAATCTTGTCTTCGAATGAAATTCAGCTTCTCCGTCGCCACCTAACCAAACTTGACTCCGCTAATGTTACCACATCTAATTATGTGCAATTAGGTACTGTCTTTGCTGCTCACCTTAATTCTTGGATTGTTGATTCTGGTGCAAATAGACACATGGAGAAGGGTAAGATAAGCAGCAAAGGCAGTACCTGATTGCACATAATTTGATATGGCAACATTAGCAGAGTCAAGTTTGTATAGGAGACGACGAAGAAGTTGAATTTCATCCGAAAACAAGATTTCTCCAAAACTCGTCTCCTTGAATGTCTCCATATTTTCTGCCCAATCAGAAGGATATTTGAAGAAAATTGCTCAAAAAAAATGTGCCTCGTCGGAAGCCAAATCTGCCTTGACGGAACCAGAAGAGGTTTGTGTTGCAGACAACCACCAAGAGAGAAAACTCAACCTCTTTGATAAAAACGGAACCCTAGTGCTGCGAGCTCACCTCAAAAAGGCAGCCATGACTCTGATACTATGTAGATTTTGAGAAGAAGAAAAAGTTTCTTATATTTCTATATTTTTGTGTATTTCTGACATCCCTAAGTAAATATATTTATACACTAAATCCTATGACTATTTTAGGAAGGAAAATAAATTACAATCAATCAGAATATAATCAAGTCTTTCCTAATAATTAAGTCAATCAACAATATGTTTACTGTGTGCGGTAGCCTGTTGTTTGGTCTGCAATGGGTAATGCAACATATACTTTAAAGAGGCCTTCACCAACTGGAGTACTGTAATGTGGAGAATCATAAAGTGGAGAATCAAGAAGAAACCTGCAGCAAGCTATCCTAAGTTACACTGTCCAGACAACTTTAGTTTTCTCCTTGTACTGGAATTTTTTTAACTTGAATTCATCTGAACACAGAATTTGCTTTAAGATGAGTAGGCTTTTTGTGCTTTGGTCCTTGTGTGAACTCTCATTATGTGTTTTCTTATAGAAGGCTCAATTAACGAGATTTTTTCCCAATTCTAGCTTTTGATAGGTGGAATGAAAATCCTACCCTACAGAAAAATAACTAAAAAGGCTTTCCATGAAGTTCCTAGGTTCGAGTTAGTCCGCGCTTTTATAAAGAGTCTTAATGCATGCTGCCTGGTAGTCTTTTGCTTTCGATATGAACTCACTATGTAGATGGGTTTAGAATAAAAATTGGGTGATTTATTTCAATAATACCCACATTTGATGATATTATGCACAGGTAGGCCGTGAACACCCAACTATTGTATAATAAAACTTAGGTAGGTTTAATCGATAGATTTTACGGCTTCCTAAAATGATATACTGAATTCATTGCGTTCAAAAGATCAAAACATCCTTGGAAGGAAAGAAATATGAGATGCTTTAATTAGCAAATTTAAAAGAAAAGATGTTTTGAGGGGACATCTACTTCTATACCATCTAAAAAAAAAAGCTAAATGTCATGTGAATCCTTTNCCCCCTCTTTCCCAGCTTATATGTTCCATTGTGGCTTGACATGGATATTAAGAGAGCTTTGATAATGTAAGTTGCTTCGTATTTGTTGGGAAACTTGTTCATATTTCATCACTGTAAATGTGCTAAAAGATTTCTTTTACACTGACATCATTCTAGTACTTACTAGAAGGAAATATGACTTGTTTTGAAACAGAGGAATTAGCAAGGATTTAGAAAGGTTTCACATTCTGTGATTCAAGCTTTTGGGTACTGTTTCCAGTGATGCAATTATTGAAGGGATGGCATGACAAGCCTTACAATACTTCTAAAAACGTTTCATTGAGAGATGCGTTAAAATGCACGTATCTATGTGCTCTTATATCTCTAAATCTCGTAAGAATTTTCATTTTCCAGATATCAGGTGGTTGGAGGCATACCATGGCACTTACTGCTGATGGAGAACTTTATGGTTGGGGTTGGAACAAGGTTTGGGCGTTGTTTCATTATTTTTTCAGTTGAAAAACGCCGCTCATGTCCATTGCAACTTCAACTTAATGCACCACCTGCCTGTGTCTACACTTTGCTGTCTATGTTCTTTTCTTAGTTTATTTGTATCAGAAATGGAGTATTCTTCCTCACGTTTTTCTGTTAGCCAGTCCAAAGAATTTTCTCAGGTCTTTCTTAGGACATATCTTATAGTGTTTGTCACATGCATTATCAACATGCAATTAATGTCTTCATGCAAATTTGTCGTACATTTTTTTGAAGATGATTTGTTTGTTTCCTTCATGCTGTTTTGGTTCGTTGTGTTCATATGGAGTTCTAAGTAGCTCTAGCCTGAAAGTTTCTTTTTATATTTAGACGAACTAGGCTCACAACTATGATGTTTTTGGTAGAGAAATTATTTTCCAAAATTGGATGCTACAGATAGTTGGATAACTGAAAGCTAAATGTATTAGGTAGAAAGGCACCCAAAGGGACTTGTGTGCAAAACATATGAAAAAGAAAACGCAAAACTACATATTTCCAGAATATCAGTGCACTACCTTTCCAATATTAAATCACTTGTACATCATCATTGCTAATATTTGGAATCTCATTTTTCATTGTTAACCCTTCTGTTATGATGGTTCATACTGCATTCCAGGCGTCTCGGTTGTTATTTCATATGTATTTTTTTGCCTTGGCATGTACCCTTCGTCGCTTCCCTCCAACCAGTTTTATTTTAATGCCAAGTAATAAAGCCTTTATGGAAGACACCATTTCACGTTCAACGCTGTCTATTCTTGTTATACTTATAATTGCTAGATATGGCCGACCTACTTTTACTATTGTCAGCCTATTTTGTTACCTGGTAATCAACTTGATTTAAATGAGAAAATCTGTTTATATGCTTCGTAATCATTTTACTTGGTCCTCCATTCAGTTTTTCTTGATCATGCATATCCTTTGCGTAAGGCGGCATTCAATCACCTGTTGCTTGATGCAAACATCCTTTTAGTATCAGATAGAACTTCCCATAGGTTTATCTTATTGAATTGGTGTCTTGTTTTTCCTCATGAGCAGTTTGGACAAGTTGGTGTTGGTGACAATGTTGATCATTGTTCACCTGTACAAGTGAAATTTCCACATGATCAGGTACTGCTTTGTAAGTTCAGCTGAAATGTGCTCTAGTCTTTGTCATCTATGTGCTTTCATTATCGCCTTACCTGAGAGGTCTTGAAGTAACAAAAAATAAATAAATAAATAAAAAGTGACATTTTACTTTTTTTAAAATGGCAGAAAGTAATTCTGATTTCATGCGGATGGAGGCACACACTTGCTGTTACAGAAAGACAGAATGTCTTTTCCTGGGGAAGAGGTACAAATGGTCAGCTAGGTCATGGGGAGTCTGTTGATAGGTAATAACTGCAAGCATATCGAGTATTTAAACTCGTTGATAGAGCATTGAGATCTATAGTCGAATGGTCTATGCTATACTATTTTTGGTCCTTAAAGCAGCTTCTCATACAACAACAACAAATCCAGTATAATCTGACACGTGGGTTCTGGGAAGGTAGTGTGTACGCAGACCTTACCCCTTACTTTGAATGTAGAGAGGTTGTTTCCGATAGGTCTTCGGCTCAAGAGAAGATGAAAATAAAGCAGTAGCAACAATAGGTAACAACAATAAGATAATAAGAAAACAAAGTGAAAGGAACATGTAGTAATAGAAATTTAACAATAATAGAATACAAAACTAACACTACTACTGGTATGGCAAGAAACACTCTCGACTACCTACTAGTATTCTACCTAAATTCTCAACCTCCACGCCTCCCTATCAAGGGTCATATCCTCGGGAAACTGAAGCAATGCCATATCCTATCCGATCACCTTTCTTTAATAATTCTTTGGCGTATCTCTACCTCTTCTCAATTCCACCAAGGCTAACCTCTCACACCTCCTTACTGGATCATTTGTGCTTCTCCTCTTCACATGCCCAAACCATCTAAGCCTCGCTTCCCGCACCTTGTTCTCCATCGGGGCCGCTCCCGCCCTGCCACGAATAACTTCATTCCTAATTTTATTAATCCTGGTATGCCTTTACATTCATCTCAACTTGAATCCGAAAGAGAGTACTTGAGTTCTCCCAATAACTAAAAAGTATAGCATGCCTGAATCTATCTAGGGTTTACGTTGGTGGAGGAACTGGATCGGAAAAAGAGGGATTCTAGTTGTAAGATATCTAACAAAATCGTCGTTGGAATTGAGATCTTATTCAAAGGGAAAGATCTCAAATATCTGGAGTTTCTTTTTATATATATTGTATGGATGATCCAATTCGCAAGGGCCATGATCAGGAATTGTTTAATCGTCTTTCTCTGAGGAAGAGTCAAAATAGAATCAACTTGAATTCAGGACCGCTATTCTAAATCTTAGCGAAACACTAGAATTCTTATCGCATGCCTGCTTTTTGTGAAAAAATATCAATTGAAGTGGAGGATTTCTTCAAACAACAAGGGGATGGTTTTCGGAAATAGACACTCCTCCTCACCCTTGCTTCCACCACCCTCTCCCAAACTTTCATGGTATGGCTCAACAACTTGCAATTTTGGATATCACCTTTATTCTTGTACAACGGAATCATCGTGCTCCATCTCTATTCTTCAGGCATTTTCTTCGTCCTAAAAATGATGTTAAACAACCGAGTGAGTCATTCCAATCCTGCCCTTCCTGCGCTCTTCCAAAGTTCCACCGGGATTTCGTTTGGCCCTGTCCCTCTACCCCTGCTCATCTTACGCATAGCTCCATCTACCTCCTCAATACTAATACGCCTACAATAACAAAAATCTCGACGACTCTCGGAGTGCTTCAAATCACCTAACACGATCTCCCTGTCCCCCGCTTCGTTTAGGAGTTTATAGAATTATGAATGCCATCTAGGTCTAGTATGTGCCTCTTCCATCAATACTCTGTCTTTCTCATCTTTGATGCACTTCCTTTGGTCCAGGTCACAGACCTTCCTTTCTCTCACCTTGGTTAGCTTTTACAACTTCTTGTCCCCATTTCTTCCCCTAAGTTCTTCATACAAACGCCCAAACGCTACAGTCTTAGCTGCTGTAACCGCCAACTTTGCCTCCTTTTTGGACTTCTTATACCACTCCCTATTCATCCTCTTTTCCTCCTCCTTGCTTTCCACCAGCATTAAATGCGCTACTTTCTTGGTTTCTACTTTTCCTTGGACCTCTCCATTCCACTACCTGTTCCGTTTGTGTCCACTAGCGTAACCCTTCGAGACTCCTAGCACCTCTCTAGCAGATTCTCTAATGAAGTTCGCTGTCATGGTCCACATACCGCTCGCGTCCCGACAACTCGTCTAAGCCCCCATAGCCAACAACTTCTCCCCCAACTCCCAAGCTTTGTCCTTAGTCACGGCTACCCACTTGATTTTAGGTTGACCATACACAACCCTCTTTTTCCTCTTCCTCGTGATCTTTAAGTCCATCACCAAGAGCTTATGTTAAATCAAGAAATTCTCACTCATGATAACCTTGCAATCCGTGCAAAGACCTTTATCACACTTCCTAAGGAGTAGGTAGTCAATCTTGGCCACCGCGCTTTGGAAGGTAACCGAGTGCTCCTCCTTCTGAAATTTCGAGTTAGCTATCACCAAATCAAAGGCTTTAGCGAAATCCAACAACAAAGTTCCACCTTCGTTTCTATCCAAAAATCGAAGCCTCTATGCACATCGGCATAACCCCTGGAAGTCGTCCCGATGTGGCCATTGAAGTCCTTTCCTATAAAAAGCTTCTCGGTAAGCGGAATACCACGCACAAACTCGTCCATATCATCCCAGAAACGCCTTCTAACCTTCTCGTCCAATCCTGCATGAGGTGCGTAGGAACTAATAGCGTTTAAAGTGATCCCTCCAACAACTAACCTAATAGCCAAGCCTGTTGTTCACCCTCCTAACCTATATTACTAGCTCCCTGAGCTCCTTATCCGCCAAAATACCTACACCATTCTTACCCTTCCCACTTCCTAAGTACCACAGTTTATACCCGTCTACATTCCGTGTCTTAGACCTCACCACCTGGTTTCATGGACACACACTATACTAATCCTCTTCTTCAAAAGGATTTCACCAACTATATAGACCGCCTCGTCAAAGTCCCTACGTTCCAAGACCCAACTCTCGGCCTCGAGGCTCCCCTACCACCCCACTATATACCTTGTCTCCTGCCCCACCTCCCCACCCGAGGACACAACCTTACTCTACCATCATTCCTGTCACTCTCCGGAGCGGGACCGGTGCTCAACCGAGATAACCAGCCAAGCAAGTCTACCTGGTGCCTACTATATACCCTTGTCCATGAATGATTTAAAAAGAAATAATATGTAATAATCTACCGAGAATATAGAAATATGCAACACTGATTTCCATTACTTCAGGAACCCATTGTAGTTGACAAATTATTGCAACCCAATAGTTTTAAGTGGAAGCATAACGACAACAACATTTATAATTCCCCCATACATACATGACCCACAATGTGTCTACGGAGCCTCTAAACACTCATAAGTAAATTAAGAAAGTGTCGATGCTAGGGCCTTGGCTATACCCAAAATAATATACAAAAAGACCAAAATACAACATGAGGACCTCGGTGTAGAGTAGGGCTCACCACAACCAGCTGAAGAGAGGGTACGGTCCTATCGTGAATCTATGCCGCCTGTTGAGGTATCACCTGCATCCATTAAAGATGTAGTATCCCCGACAAAAATGACGTTAGTACATATGGAATAGTACTAGTACGTAAAGCTAAATACCCCATATGAAATGGACTGTCAACATAAGGAGAGAACACATGGAAATAGGAGAAAATCAATATGAAAATGACATGTTAAAGCATAAGGAAAAAGTGTAACATGAGTAAAACCTTCACATAAACATTAACATTGTAGTGGGGAGATCATTAGTTATCGACATAGGAACATATAACCACCATATGTGCGGCATGGCGTCCGACCTAGACCCGATCGGCTAAGCCTTCTCACCACAATGTCGTGTGGATCGACATGACTTTGCTAGCAATACATTCATCCCAATTAAAGGTCATAATCTCATCAAGTGCGAAGGGGACTTGTCCCCAATTACCTTCCTACACCGGCACGTGTAGTTTCGGGTATAGGTCTTTGCAACCTATACCTTCTCGGTTACATAACAATACTCCCAAAAACATTTCTTTAAAGCATTTCATAAAACCTTTCTTTTCATTGTCCCTTTTGGACATACATCATCATTCTCATTTTTGGCAAAAATGACTAAATATCATCTACATTCTTTTATTTCATTCACTTGCCATGGATTTTCGAAAGTCATAAAAATGTATTTAAAGCATCAGATAACCATAGCTGCAAACACATGAAAGCTTAGACATTTGAAATAAATTTCAAAGAGGATAGCATAGCAATGGAAAATGTAACATAAATCGAGTTCATAACAGTGTTATCAAAGGCGAAAAGCGCAAAAAAGCTCTAAGGTCCGTTGGGGCTTTAAGCGCAAAGCGCAAATAAAGCGTGAGCTTTAATAAAAAAAAGGCGCAACTGGAGAAAAAGTAAAAATATGTATATGTAGTCCAACACTAATAATTATAAGCATGAATAACAAATATACGGACAAAGAAATTGGAAACAAATTACGGAAAAAGTAAAATATCAATTGTTTAATGTCGCTTTTACAAGATTACACTCGTTGGCAAGAAAAGTATGCCTTAGAGCCTTGATGAAATAATAAAGCGCACACAAAGCAAGGCAAAACGCTCAACATGTTTTGAGCCTCGCTTCAGGGCTTAAGCGCGCCTTTGACAACACTGGTTCATAAGCTTTTGGTAATTCAAACATTTGAGGAATTCAATGCCCTAACCTTGGTCTTAACTCCATCATACATATCCATAATCACCCTAATGTATGCTATAGAGACACCTCACCTTCAAGCACCTCCATAAAACCTCTCTTGGGACTTTGTTGTATGCTTTTTCCAGATCGACAAATACCATTTGCAAGTCCCTCTTTCTCTCCCTATACTATTCCACCAACTTCCTGATGAGGTGAATGACTTCTGTGGTAGTTCGCCCCGGCATGAAACCGAACTGGCTCTCAGGTACAAATACTTTTTGCCGCACCATCATCTCTACCATCTTCTCCCCGACTTTCATAGTGTGGCTTAGCAACTTGATACCGCTATAATTATTGCAGTTTTGGATATCTCCCTTGTTCTTATACATCGGGATCATCATAATCCACTTCCATTCTTCGGGCATCTTGAAAGTCCTAAAAATAACATTAAATAGGCCGGTGAGACTTTCCAAGCCTGCCCTGCCCGCGCTCTTCCAGAACTCTACCGGAATCCATCGGG